CAAAATTCCGCCAAGAATGAACAAAGAAATTGCGGGATGTTGTTTACGTGTGTCACTCGACACTGACTGCAAGGTAATGAAAATGTGCTTAATTGTTGTGTATAACTGTTTTCTGTCTTTCAAGATATTGAAACAGTCGTTTAACATTTCAGACGTAACATCTGGGGGGGGGGGGGGGGGGGAGGGGGTCACCTCTTAATAATTTACTGCATCTACTACCACTGTGTATAGTGTCAAGATATAATAAATTAAAATAAAAAAAAAATCATTCATTTTTTTTTTATAGATTTAGGACAGCTAAATAAAGGGGCGACTATTTTTTGTTTGATGCGGGGGAGGGGGGGGGGGTAAAAATATATTAACCTCAAAAATGTTTAAAAGATATAATCTCATCTCAACTGAAAAAATGATTAATAATCTTTCCTTGTCTGATGCCATTATTTCCTTTACCTCACTGAATTAAGAGTTTCTGGGTCAGTTTATTTCCTTTTGTAGTGGCAATGGGGGGGGGGGATCAAACTTTGTTCATTTGAGATAAACATGAATAATATGTCCCTGATTATTAAGGAAATCAAATATTCTATTCATCACTGGCTGGAAAATAATTAATCAGACTTAACAGTCAAAAAATTACCTTTTCATAATTTATCTTTTGTAGAAACAAAGAGTGGAGAGCTAATGCATGGTGCTAAGTATGGAAATGTCTCTTGTGGATTGGTTGTGCCAGAGACAAATGTACATTATTTCTATGTTGGGTAATGTCCTTAAGAATGGAAGTTTTTTTCAATTACAAGGGACATGACTTTTTCATATGTTATCACTGTACAGAGATCAAAATATTTTTAAACATTGTTAGGTACTCACTACATTATTCCATCTTTAGAAAAGTATTTAAAATTATTTTCTCACATTTTTTAAAGAGACCAATATTGTGAAGAGATTTTTTTTATTTTAATCTTGAATTTGGATATTATACAGGTCAGAAGTCTCGGTACACTTTGGGTGAGTGGCAGTTGGGAAGATGGAAGACCTTCAGATAGTTTGAGATGAAGAAGTTTTTTTAAATGATTGAAAGTGATCATCATAGAATCAACTCTATTATGAAGATAAATTACGAGCAAGTCAGGTGAGGAATTGACTTCAATGTGTTATCACATTGTGTAAATGAATCTTCATTATTAAGATCTTTTACATTTCATTTTTATATATGAACTTGCTTTTCTATTATTCTAAACTTCCAAAAATAAAATTAAAGTAGTTAAAGCATGCTACAAACATTTTAAGTATCTTGGCAAGTTTTCAGGGATATTGCAGATGTGCTTTAATTTCAAAAGATAACTAATTTATGCAAACCTGGAAAAGAAATGGATGTTATTATCTATAATTTCGAAGATTATGTTTATTATTAGCACTCCTTTTGTCCAACACCCAAGAAATCTGAGTATCCATCCTACTGTTGAATTAACTGGTGACCAAGAAAAGATGACAGAGAGGGGAATCAAATATGGATGCCATTGTGATCAAACATATACACACAGACTAGAAAATATCTGAAAATTTATAGATGAACATTCAAGCATTTATAATAATGAAAGTTATTCAGCAAGAGAGTTTTTGCACAAGTTTAATTTCAGTAAAATTGTGTATATTGTGCACAGAGGAACTTAGTATGTAACTCATTATGATTATCCATTTCTTTAGAGGATGTATTCGGAGTATATTTAAATAATCATTATCTTGTAGAAAAGAGCACACAAAAATTTTCTCTCTGTGTGAAGCAAGACACAAATGCATACACTCAAGCATTAACCACAACCACTGTTACATATTTTCCAGGGCATGTGAAGTCGAGCACACACAACATCTACCACAACACCAGTTACATATTTTCCAAGGCGTGTGAAGTCGAGCACATACATGAAAATGTGTGAAGCTGGACACATATGCAAAAGCACAAGCATCTACCACAACCAATTACATATTTTCCAAGGCGTGTGAAGTCGAGCACATACATGAAAATGTGTGAAGCTGGACACATATGCAAACATACAAGCATCTACCACAACCAATTACATATTTTCCAAGGCGTGTGAAGTTGAGCACATACATGAAAATGTGTGAAGCTGGACACATATGCAAACATACAACATCTACCACAACACCAGTTACATATCTTCCAAGGCGTGTGAAGTCGAGCACATACATGAAAATGTGTGAAGCTGGACACATATGCCAACACACAAGCATCTACCACAACCAATTACATATTTTCCAAGGCGTGTGAAGTCGAGCACATACATGAAAATGTGTGAAGCTGGACACATATGCCAACACACAAGCATCTACCACAACCAATTACATATTTTCCATGGCGTGTGAAGTCGAGCACATACATGTACATGAAAATGTGTGAAGCTGGACACAAGCATCTACCACAACCAATTGCATATTTTCCAAGGCGTGTGAAGTCGAGCACATACATGAAAATGTGTGAAGCTGGACACATATGCAAACATAACAACATGTACCACAACACCAGTTACATATTTTCCAAGGCATGTGAAGTCGAGCACATACATGAAAATGTGTGAAGCTGGACACATACGCAAGCACTCAAGCATCTACCACAACCAGTTACATATTTTCCAAGGCGTGTGAAGATGGACACAATGCCAACATTATCTACCACAGACACAATGCACATATCACATTTAATCCAAAGTATAAAGTCAAGCTCAAACAGGCTCACTGCATGAAGCTGGACACATGCATTTACTTAAGCATCTTGCAAAACTACCTCTGAACCTATATTCTAATAGATGTTTAAGCATTTTGTTTCTTTATTTTGTGAATATGTAAATTACACGATTATGCTTACAAGATGTCAACATTATTAACCTGTACATAAATACTCATTAGATAGCCTTTATTAGTTTAAATTGGAAATACTAGTACTTTGCCTGATTTATGTTGTGTAGTTTCTCATCAGTGATCTTGAGTAATAACTGAGTAAGGCATTTTTAGTTCCATTTAAACTGTGAAGTTTTGACACGTGTACATGCACCATAAAGGATGAATAATATTGTATTGTATTTTAACCTTTTTTATTTCATTCTTTGTCATTTTATTGCCTGTTCTAGTAAAAGATGTAATCTTGTAATGTTTGTAACTGTTTTTGGTAGATATTTATAAAGCAGAAATTATAACAGAAAAGGTTTCAATATATCTAAACTAAAAGCAAATAAAAAAGAGCTCTCCATCTATCAGATATCAGCAAATCAGATAACTTAAAGGTTAAGTCATAGGGAATTTTAAAGTTTATTATATCTATATTCTGATATCTGGTACCATCTTTACATTTGTGATTTTCCGTCTACAGTATACAAAAATAGTATAAATTTTTATATTTTGTAGATGACAATCTCTAATACTAAATACAACTGGAAATTGATATAACGCATGAAAATTTGTGTATTTTTAGTAAGATCAAGTTTAACAAAATGGGGTGGGGGTAACACAATAGACACATCAGATACCTATTTATTGAAAGTCAAAAACCATTTGTTGAAATCTTATAATTAAGTACGAGTGTATTATACAAAAGCCAGTATTCAAGTAAGGATTTTAAAAAGTTTCATTATATATATATATATATATATATATATATATATATATATATATATATATATATATATATATATATATATATATATATATATAAACTTTAATGCAGCATTAAAGGTGAAAGGTTAGATTTAATTACCTTTTCGTGTAAGTAAAGGTTACCTTTTCACCTTTACTTTTTGTAAAGTTAATACAAAGATGACCTTGCTTTTTGGAGCACCTTTAATGAGATTTACTTTGCAAGTAAAGTTTTGTAAAGGTGTTTTTTCAAGCAGTGTACGGCATTTGAGCAGTGGCGCCTCTTTATCGTCCCAACGTCTACCGAGACACAGGCGTTTTTAAGGTCATATCCGAATGACTTGTGACTACGTTGTGCTCATGACGAAGGAACGGCCATTATCTATGGTTTACGTCTTAGGTTTGACACGGCATCGTGAACAAGAATAAACCAGGGCCTCCTTATCACGAAATAGTTTAATGTTATATAATTTAGAAATTTCTATTACCATTTTTACATAATGTTATCAAATATCATTAAAGAAATAAAGAACAATATGTTCAACACAACATTTGTTATACAGATATATTTCAGGCAGCATAAATTTATTCTTAATATCATGTTTGTATAGCAATTAAACATTTTTATTTTTTTCTTCTGACATACATGTACATCGTTTCCTATCTTTTATAAATGCTATTTGACTCTATGGAAACATTAATAGATTTTTTTTGCTGTTCTTAACTTGCAGCTGAACAGGACTCGTAAATAGGCCTACGCCATATTAGTTTTCCTATCTCCGATATAACAACTGGGGTATACTTTTCGTATTCGACCTGGCTACTTTCTTGTCACGGGTACCTGTGTGGTATGGACCTCACGCGTTCGGGTTGGTTATATAGCATCACCTATGATTACATTTAATTGCAGTTTACGTGTATTTGTGTTTGTACTGCACTGACTTGTGCAACTATTGAAAGTTTTTTGGTGTCGCTACCGAATGTTTTACAATGGCTTTTTAAAAAAACGCCCGTCTACACAGATTAACAGTGATTACACTGAACCTCAGATGTACATGTAACTACAGGATAAGAGAAATATGGCAGGCAAATTACTTTTTTTAATCATGTTCACCTTTAAGAGTAAAAGTTGTTAAACATTTTCTGGTTAAAGGAAATATTATCTTTTATTTGCATTTGGGCAGTTGAAAGGGTTTCACCATGTAAACAGAGACTGGTTTGTTATCATCAAATTCTAGACTAACAACTCTATAAAACATGTAACCTACATATTTGTAAAATACTGAAAACAAATGAACAGGAAAGAAAGAAGAAAACAATTAAAAAATATCATAACCAACATTTTATCTATATGTACCTGTTTTTTTTTTTATTTTATTTTTTTTTTACAAGAAAATTATTTATGTATAAAGAACAAAATAATTCGCGGAAAAAGTAGTTTCTCGTATAAGTTAACTTTCTAAAGCTTAGTGTCGTAGTTGGAAGGTGTTTCCAATTGTAGCATCACTGGATTCTCATGATTCAATAAAACGGGCTGATCGTCCTTTTTGAGCAAAGACACATCTTCATTCTGAGGAATGGAAGAGTCGCTGACAAAATATGATTTATTTGTCATTGTTCTCGTGTGATTTATCCTGCAGGAAAACAAAATCTATTTTTAGAGATAACTATAAAACTTAAACATATTATAATAAATAATAAGAACTTTAAGGATACTTGAACATTGTTTTTTTTACCTTTGAATTATTTTGTAGAGCACACACAACAGGATAACAAAGAGAGTGAAGCAAAGTGCACCAAGAACATTAAAGAAGTATATCTGGTAGTCTTGGACTGTAAAAAAAAATACATATAAAGTAAAATATTTCTTAAATTTGGGAATTTTTTTAAAAATTATTATATACTAACCCTCTAGACATTCACTCCCCTTCACTCCAGATATACAACCCAATTTACAGGCACCAGTCACGTGATGACAGTCACGTGATGTTTTACAAAATGTACTGCATGCACTTTTACAGTTAGGTCCGTAAAACCCAAATTCACAAACTAGAAGAAAACCAATTCACACGCTGATTGATATCAAAACAAAATATTTAGAGTATATTTGTAGTGAATACTCCTCATGAATATACCATAAAATTTGCGGCTGCAGTTAAGGGATTTTTGAAAGTATAATTCATTTACTACTTTACACTACCTGTATCACATTTATTTCCATGATATCCAGATCCACAACCATTAACACAGGAACCATTGACGTGATGACAAGGTTCGCTGTCCACACATTTACCACAGGTCTCATTACAACCATCTCCATACCGATGCTCATCGCACTCTATGATAATGATAATGAATTAATATACAAACAGTGGTTACTTAAACTTTTCTTCAATAATAATTACCATTTACTTCACAACTATTAACACTTCTCTTACTTCTACAAATAATAATGGAAATTATGGTTAATAGGTAGCGTTTCACCAACAACTATATTATGTAACATTTCTCAGGTGTGTTATGATAAATTGTGATTTGAATACTTTTTAATTGTGCTTCAGTTACACATATACAGGGCAGTTAACACGATAACTATTATGTAATCTTTTAACGTGGAACTTTTATGTACGTGTTACGAATGAAGCGTTTCGTTTTGTATGCTTGTGCAGGTTTTTATGGAATTGTAAAATGAAAATCAACTTGTATCTGTATGAATAACAAACGGTGGTTGAAGGTAAAGGCATTTACCTTCATGACAGAATTCTCCTTTCCAACCAGGATGACATATACTTCCACATGCACCGCTAAATCTGTCACATTGTTTACATGTATCATTACACCTGTACACACAGTTTTCTCCAAAGTATCCATTCCGGCATGCTGAAAATGAAATATGATTATTTCATAGCCATTTAAAAATAAAGTAAATTATGTGAACTTTGTTATCTCGAATATACATAATTGGAAAGAGGTATCGTTTTCAATGAAAAAAAAATCTCATTCCAAAATTATTTCTTTTATTAACAATTTTTTCATGAAAATGCCGTTGTATGTTTGCAATCCATTATTCAATGTATAGGGTATTTTTTCCCCTCTTTTAATTTCTCTTTGAAATGTACATGTATTTCAATTACTTTTGTTACATAGTTGCCCTTCATAGCCCCCAGAACATCCATCCAAACACGTTCCATTTATTGGTCTACATTCCTCTGACTTCTTGCAATGACCACAAGTCATGTTACAATACTCGCCAAAGAACCCATCATTACATTCTGAAATGATTTAAATATATAATGATTCACACAAAATACAAAAATATTTTAGCAAATTGAAAAAAAAGAATGCAGTATCTATTTCTTACTGTGACAAGAGCACCTAGATCACTGCATTTCGTCAAATCTGGAACTACATGCATAGTTTGACACATTTATGATTTTTTATGCACTGCATTTAGCAAAACGTTGGCATTTATTTTGTAATCTTTCGCACTACAGCATCCAGAAGTTAAATGCTTTAAAATGTTTGTGTTTTTTCCTTTCGTTTTTTTTATTGTTCGTTGCAAAACCATTCAAAATAAAAACTAAAATGTGATGGTATTGTTTTTAGACTTTTAAAGTAATAAAATGTAATCAAATCACATTTAATTAATTACTAAAATAACCTTTTCCACTTGGAATTTCATTGATTGGAATTGGCGTCCTAAAGGCATATGTTGAATTTTTACATGATAAAATATTTTTGAAGAACGTCATAAAGGGAAATTTTGTGAAATTAAAAAAAAAGCAGAAGAAAACGATCTCTTTGGAGATCAAACTTTTCTTATTTTTGTTTTATTCTTTCAAAATTTGATGACATGAGAATATCTTTATAGTTTACAGGATAAAAGAATACCAAAATCAACAGGAGGACAATTCTTTAAACGAATTTCACTAAAGTAGAGAATAACTGTATCTAAAATCATAAAACAATGTGAATTTGTGAAATACTTTTATGGGTCTATACCTTCATGGCAGAATTTTCCTTTCCAACCAGGATAACAACCGCTCTCACAAAGCCCATTTGTTCTATTACATCCCTTACATGTTGTATTACATATGCTGACACAATTTTCTCCAAAGAATCCGTCTATGCATGCTAATAAACAATAAATTAGTAGTAATTGGGCTTATTATTGCAAAGCATTGCTGTTTGACTTTAATACATTTCAAATGAAATATCCATATTAATGTACAATTCAAAATAGTATTTGAAATACTTTTATTGCAGTATTGTCCTTCATATCCCGCAAAACATCCACTCAAACACGTCCCATTTATTGGGTGACAATCTTCGATATTATTGCAATATCCACAATTTAGACCACAATGCTCTCCAAAAAGTCCACCATCACATTCTGGAAGTTTAATAGTTTTTGTAATGTACGGAATGCATTGTACAAAGTGTTTAAAGTTGGTGATTTTCATGCAATTTTCAGTTCTTTCGAATTGGAAAGTGTTTCGGATAAAACTCTTTAGAGGACGTGAATTTAGTCTTAAAATTGAAAGATCGGTAAACAACTTGGTTTACTTCCGACATACAAGTTACCTTGAAATCAAACTTAAAAGATACGATTTTCTATTTTATTCTTAAATCATTTGTGCAAGAAATTGTAGCAAATTATTCCTACATTGCATAGAAAATTAAATGCCCCAAATGAGGTTTAGCGTTGAGCGTGAAGAGTTGTGCATAACCTTTAATAATCGAATAGTTCACGGAATTTCAGACAAAATTTCCTTTTATTTCTTTTAGATTGGTAGAAAGAGTTTGAAGAAAATTATAAATTCATTTGCCTAACAGTATTCAGTTTTCATGTTCAAACATCTCCAACTGCATGAAACTAGGGAAAAATTATCTTAATTACGGAAAATACAACAATACGTGTAAGTATGAAACGATGTCTCTGACGTAATTTACCTTCATGACAATAATCTCCTTTCCATCCTGGATGACACCCAGTTTCACATTTACCATTTGTTCTGTTACAGCCATAACAAGTGCTGTTGCACGTCTCCAGGCAGTTGTGTCCAAATGTTCCGTTTTCGCAGGCTATAAAATCATTTTGTAACACAATATAACTCTTACAACTATATATGGAAAATGATAGGAGACAGAAACAGTAATTGTTCAACAATATATATTTTACACTGATGACTGCTTTACTTTTGTTGCAATAAGTCCCTTCATATCCTTCATCACAACCATTCATACGTGTCCCATTAATAGCCTGGCATTGTTTTAAGTTTACACAGTATCCACAAGGCATACTACAATTACTTCCATAGAATCCTCCGTTGCAAACTGGAAAAAAGCAATTATAAAACAAATTTCTATTATATAATGATATATGTGATTCGGTTTCTGCTTTCCGAGTTCAATCTTGAATTCTATAGGTATGTTAAAAAAAATAGTATGAATTAATTTTTTTGTTATATTTTATGTTTTTGAACGTTTTAATAATATCTTAAACCTTTATTCTTTAAATAAATCGGTTTTTCAGAATCAAATCTAGTATTGTTACCTTCATGACAGTAAGCACCTTTCCAGCCAGGATAGCATCCATTATCACAAAGCCCACCTGTCCTGTTACATCCTATACATGTATCATTACACTTGCTGACACAATTTTGCCCAAAGTATCCGTCGCTGCATGCTTCAGTATAAAACATGAAAATTAATAATCTTCGTAATTACAATAACAACACATGCGTTTCAATAACTTACTATGTTTTATGTTGTATATGCGATGTTGTATATACATTTATGAATACATTTAGGTTTTGTGTTTCATTACATTTATTGCAAAACTGTCCTTCATATCCAGCGGAGCAACCACTTGAACATGTTCCATTGACCGAGTGACATTCCTCAGAGTTCTTACATTGTCCACAAATCATGCTACATTGTTCTCCAAAAAATCCATCATCACATTCTGAAAATAAACAGTTCAAATTTTGAAGAAAAGGAAGTATATTCATATGTCTTATATACGAAGAATGCTTTATATAGATGTTTTGTAATACATTAAAAAAGGCTATATGTATAACAAAAGGCTGAATCTGATTCTCAACGAACATATCCTAATACATGGTACTAACTGACCAATGTTCATTCCTTGCGAAGAAAATAGTTACTTTCCCTTGAATTATACAGTGTGTCGTGAAAATATGTATTGTTTAGGAGAATTATCGAAAGAAAGGGATTGTCATAAGCTTTTTCGTGGAATTAAGCTTAACGTCTCTTCTTTATATCAATATATCACAGCTGGTGATGCTATATTTATGTCAAAATGTAAATGATGATCCATTTATGGAGTACTAGTAAATTTGAATACCTTAACACGTGTTAACAGTTTGGGCTGAAGGGGGGGGGGATTATCTGTTAACATATCAATTCACAATCGTCATTGTACACAATTTACACCGTTTTGATGGTCAGAAATGTTTGTGGAAGTCTTTTATAATTTTTTTTTTTTTTACGGAATGAGATATAGGTCTTGATACGATTTTTCCAGACCCCCTTGTGTTGTATGAAATTACATTCCTGGTCAAGCTATCGTAATGTGAGAGTATATTATAAACAATACTCCAACATAACTGAGGTCAAAATAATTACATGTGATATGAGAATTTACATTTCCTTCGTTGTATTAAGAATAATACCTGTAACAGCTTAACTCGTTGACTTAACCACCCTTCCATCTTGGATTAGTGGAATAGATGCGACTTGCTCTGCTTAAACCGGTACATGTAGTAAAATTAATATATATATATATATATATATATATATATATATATATATATATATATATATATATATATATATATATATATATATATATATATATATATATATATATATATATATACAGTTTTGTGCCGTGCGGATTGTGGGTTATTTTGCGTCTTTTTCACTCACGTTGTGGGTATCGCAGCTGGGTCATTATATATTGACCCACAAACCATGTGCCTAAAAATTTGTTTATGACAATAATATAGCTACTATTTTCATTTTTTACAAAAAAAATTTTTTTGACCCTTAATTACACACTCAAGAAATGACCCACAATGCAGTTATATATATATGAAATCTTACCACTCTGTGGATTGGCAGAATTTCGCGCGTGACCCACAATATTTTATATACTTTCCCATGAGTATTGCAGGGATGATTGGGAACAGCTAGATTTTATAGCCTAATTGCAGTGAATCATTATCAGATTGTAACGCATTTTTTATTTACATGTATGTCATGCCATGTATGAGCTTTTGTTTTTAATGCACTACGTTGTATAAATCTACAAAAAAAATAAGGGTAATTAATTTTATAATTTTTAATCGTACCGGCAATAGTTGTGTTCTTCCTAAAGTTTATATAGACCTATCTAAATATATATTCTTATTCAGATATGAAAGAAAGCTTCAAGTATATCATTTTATAGGAAAAATGACTTTTAAATGTTACTATAAAGAAGGTGCGTTATGATGTGAACCGTGGAGTTTCAGTAATAAATATCACGCGTTAAGATTTTAGGGAAGTGTAATCAAATCAACAACGATTTTAACATTTTATAGATGGAAAAGTACATATCCTACGATGTTCTTTATATCAATATATTGACCCAGAATGATGTATAGTTGCCTGTACTTTGATCCCATAATATTCTATATCTATAGGGAGGTCAACATTATCGCTACATTAGGAAAAATTTCAACTCATTACCACAACATTTCGTCGAAATTTCGGGTGATCATTACCGCTACATTTTATCAATAAAACTATTGCCGATTACAACTCATTACCGCTACATATCGAATCAGCCAGCAATGGCACAGAATATAAGTTCTATTTACTATAATTCATTTAAGCGATTTCCTGGAGTACATCAAGGAAATGGTTTCCAAAGCTCTCCTAGTTATTGTGTGTCTATCCATGAAAAATGCTCGGTTTTAACACTTTCTAAAATTTTATGAAATGAAATAGATTTTAAAAGTTGAAAAAGTCCTACTAAAAGTATTACTTTCATCTTCCGATGATTGGCAGGGAAAACAGGAGGTCGTAACATAAAGCTTGCAAAGTACTACTTAGGTATGTTTCAACCCGTACAGTCCCTGAAACGTTCTACTTTCCCATTTTTCCGTTCGCTCACCGTTCGTTCACCGTTCGTTCAGCGTGCGTTCACCGTTCGTTCACCGTGCGTTCACCGTTCACTCTCCGTTCACAGTTTTGCGTTCACCGTTCACCGTGCGCTCGCGTTCACCGTTCACAAAGCGTTCAGCGTTCGCTCTTCGTTCCGTTCACTTTGCGTTCAACTTGCGTTCAGCGTTCACCTATCGTTCAGTTGTCATTGCTATTCGGAACTCCCAAGTGAAAGGACTTATCTTTTTGTAGGTAAGGAGTTACAGATTTCTTAATTTAATACTAACATATCGTGTTTGAAGAATCATTACTCATGGGGGAAAATATCTAAGATATATATTTTTATTATTCTAACTTAGCTATTAGGTTATTTATTAAATTACTCTGGAAAAAAAATGTTGTTATAAGCACATCCTGTACCTTTGTAGAACGATGCTGAAATATTAAATTTAACTAAGGCCAATGTGCAAATACTTCAAGCACTGCAACATTTTGATGTTTTGTTAAAGACGACAAATCGTTAATGGAGATATAATTATCCAAGTCAAATAATTACGCAGCAAAATTACGAAAATATTTATTTCTAACGCGTTTTTTTATTCATTACTACAGAAAATATGATAGAACTAGTTCTGAGAGTTATACATAGTACTGCGGATATCCTGTTAATTTATTATCTTTGGAGCGAATTAAATTGATAGTGTGTTTAAAGGAAATATTTATTTAAAATGTAATGCACTACAGAATATTCGCTACTATAATACATGTATGTAAAGTCTATAGTTATAGAGAAACAAATCTTTCTTCACCGTAACTTTATATGTTTGCTATTCGATATGATTAATACCCCCCCCCCCCCCTTTTCCCCTATATCGGTTACTTAGTCAGTACTGTATTTCCAGAAAATTTTAATTAACCTGTTAAAAAAAGTTAAGGTCTTTTTTAGAACAAAAAATTCAGTCTCAAAACAAACATGCATCTAAAAAAGTCACAAAACAATAGTAGTTCAAAATGTACACGTGTCGGTGGTGGTATTTGAAATTGGCAGAGAGTATGTTTCAAATTCAAGTGTTAATGCCCAATATATTTTATTCACTAATTATTCAAATGTTGATATCTAATCTAGAAATGATAAAAATAAATGTTATAACTTGTTGGAAATACTCGCACTTCGTCTTCGATGTGACGAAACTTTCACACCTGCACAGTGTCGAATGATTTTGATTGACAGGACAAGCACGTGGACTTCGTGTGAACTTGAAGCAGGAAAATAAAAACGAATATGTCAAAATGGATATGATTTGTTGATAAAAAAAAAAGTTACTTTCACTGTCTAATATATTTAGAAAAAAATATCAGAGTTATTGTTTGATATATGTGCAAACATTTAGTGAAGCCTGAAAGGAAGGGGGGGGGGGCTAAAACGGAATCTCTCTCTCTCTCTCTCTGTTTGATAAAAATTATAACAGCATATTACTTAAATATCAAGTGCTGAAAATTGAATTTATAACAAATAATATGAATATGTATCTTTGTATTATCTTGTCTGAGTATAATCACGGCCATCTACAGATACATGTAGAAGTCTGCTCAATAAATCAGCATGAAAAATAGAAATGACACATAATATATTATTGTATTAAAAATTTAAAATACGAGCGTATAAATGCAAAACGTCCACTGACCTTTGTAATTAATTTTTTTATTACTTCACATGAAATCGCCTTGACACGGAGATACATATATGAATGGATGTTACAATCGCTTTAATTCATTCTATAAGTCAGAAGTTTTCTCTGATTTGCTATCAAATAAGAATAAACATTTTTATTTTCCAACTAAAAAAATATCTTTTATACTTCAGCGTTCGGCAACAATTGCAATGTTTTAATGCATTAAAAATCGTGTGATTAAAAACTTAATGTGCATGAATCGTCTTTCTTAGGACAATTTTGGAGAATTCATTTTATTTACTTATTTATTCATTCATTTATTGGTTTACTTATTTATTATTATTTTTTTGGCCCCTGACATTATAATACAATAAAATAGTTTCAATGC